TATATATATATATATACACTTTGCTGGTTTTTGTGTTTCTCTAGAGAACCCAATCTAACACATTTGGTACCGAGAGTGGGGTGTCCTTCTTAGGCTGGCTCTCTGCAAACTTTTTAGCACCAAACTGAGCCATCTTCTCGCAGAGTTTCACCTCTCCCAAGATGGTCCAGAACTGGGGTTGGTTAATACAGGTGAGGAACCAGCGGTTGGTATTGGGGAAGGCTTGGCAGAAAGAAAGCTCTAGGACCTGTTTGTAGAGCCATAACAGAGTGCAGACAACTGTGATGTCAGCCAGGGTCACACGCTCACCCACCAGGAAGGTCCTCATTTTCAAGTGAGCATTCAGCAGGCCCAGAATTTGCCTTACCTCCTCCTTGGCATTCTCTGTGGCCTGCTTGTTGTGATTCATGATGCCCAGGGTAGGGAACACGCAAGTACTGGCTGGGGCAACTATGTTGCTGTTGGCGAAGCTCACCCACTGCACCACTTGGGCTGCTGTCTCTGGACTACTTCCCCTTGCGGGACTTGGCCGGCTGGTGAGGAAGGCAGCAGCGGCGGCAAAATGCCAGGCTTTCTCCTAGCTCTCACCGCTCATATATTTCACCCGCATACTCCGGATCTCAGGGGCCGTACTGAGATTCCGGCCACCAAAAATTGTCCGGAAATAATGCAAAATGTGTCCCACGCCTCCTGATCAGTGAACAAAGATTTGGAAAGACAATCAAGCTCATGTTTTCTCCTGATCAAGAAAATCATCCATCCAAAGCACCAGTGAAATATGGTGAACTCATTGTCTTAGGGTATAATGGGTCTCTCCCAAACGGTGATAGAGGAAGGAGGAAAAGTAGGTTTGCTTTGTTTAAAAGACCTAAGGCAAATGGGGTAAAGCCCAACACTGTGCACATTGCTTGTACTCCTCAGGCTGCAAAAGCAATAAGCAACAAGGACCAACATAGCATATCGTATACTTTATCTCGGGCCCAGACAGTGGTGGTTGAATATACTCATGACAGCAACACTGATATCTTTCAGATTGGTCGGTCAACTGAAAGTCCCATCGATTTTGTAGTAACTGACACAGTTCGTGGAAGTCAAAGTAATTCTGATACACTGTCAGTGCAAAGCACTATATCAAGATTTGCTTGTAGAATCATATGTGAATGGAATCCCCCCTTTACAGCACGGATTTATGCTGCAGGATTTGACTAATCAAAAAACATCTTCCTTGGGGAAAAGGCAACCAAATGTAAAACATCAGATGGGCAGATGGATGGCTTGACCACCAATGGAGTTCTTGTTATGCATCCACACAATGGGTTCACAGAAGACTCCAAGCCTGGAATATGGAGAGAAATATCAGTATGTGGAAATGTATTCAGCCTGCGTGAAACCAGATCAGCTCAGCAGAGGAGGACTTTAACCATCAAGTGGATAGGATGACATGCTCAGTGGAAACCAACCGTCCTTTTTCCTCAGCTACTCCTGTCATTGCTCAATGGGCTCACGAACAAAGTGGCCATGGTGGCAGGGATGGAGGTTATGCATGGGCTCAGCAACACGGACTCCCCCTTACCAAGGCTGATTTGGCTACCACCACTGCTGAGTGCCCAATCTGCCAACAGCAGAGACCAACCCTCAGTCCACGATATGGAACCATTCCTTGGGGTGATCAGCCTGCAATGTGGTGGCAGGTTGATTACATTGGACCACTTCCATCATGGAAAGGACAGC